TTATGGTGAGTATGTGTTACTGTTGATTTCTTCTCGTTCTTCGCTTTGTTGTTGTCGTTCGCCTGCTGTTGTTGTGTTTTCTTAGGCTTCAGATTTGAAGCAACGACTTTTGGAGTACACTGAAAGTAATTTTGGTTGGATATATTTTTTAAAAATTTTAATTTTCAATATTAAAAATAGTTTTGTTAACTGAAAAATATTTTAAAAAATGTTTATATAAATTGTTATTTTTTTTAAATAACTAATATTTTCACTAAATTATATAAATTATTAAAATTAACTTATTTTTTGCTAAGGTAAATATCTATACAAATCAATCAAGTCTATCCATTTTTCCAGTGTATTTGGTGCCTGGTCCAGCGCCATCTAGCGGTTACTGGCCATGCCTCTGTATGCGTGTGCGAGCCCATGTAGTTGTGTGTGTGTATTAGCGTCCCAGTTCTTGTAGCGTTTGATGTGCCTGCTGTTGTTGTAGCTTTTGTTGCTGGTATGCTGCGCCATGTTGTTTGCAACTTCCTCATGCTCGGCACATGACCCCTACCCCTGCCCCTGCCTCTGCCTCTGCTCCTTGCCACAACCTCCTCGCTTTGAGTCCATTTCGGGTGAAATTGTTGGTGAAATACGGCATAGAGTTGCAATTTTGGTTAATGATCTACGAAGTACTTTGCGGGGGGCGGGTTAGATATAAAAGCATTATCTATTACATTTGAAGATCCCACTCGTTCGCAGTGGAAAGTACAGTAGACAACCGCAAGGGTGAACTTGGTAGTTGAAAACTTTGTTGTGATTTTGGGATCATTTACAAGAATGGGGTTTAAGGGTTCGATAGAGGTAAAGTTTCCAGTAATTTTAAAAATGTTTGCAATATCAAAAAACTAAACTTTAACATGTTTCCTTCGCTCATTTTCTTTCCTTCCAACATTTCAAAACTGAGCTTTCCAAAGTCCCAAAAGAGCTCCCCAAGGAAACTCTACGAGAAGTCGCCACATCAGGTTTTCTTTTTTTTAGGAGGGGAGGAGGATTTAAGAGCAGTATCCTGAATCCGTTGGGTGCCATCCCAGAAATATCATCTCCACTGTCGTGGATAAGCCGACTTTTTGTACATTTTCCGTTCATTTTGTCTTTGGTGCTGGTATTTATTTTGTATTTGGTTTTTATTTTCTGTGGAGCGAATGGCTGTGCGTTTGGTGGTTAGCATTTGATTGTGATATGCACACAAAAGCGGATTATTCTTGACTCTTTAGCAGCATCATTTATGACATGCAACAATAACAGTGGGGAAAAGCGGACCAGCGGGAAATGGAAAATGGGGGATGCGAGCAAATGGTGGAGTGCAGCAAATGCAATTTCGGTTAGTGGCCACAATTTTGTTTAGAATTTTTGGCCCTACCATTTTGTATTGTCTCGCATTCCAGCTCCACGCTCCCATGCATTGTAGTTACATTATGCTTACATATTTGTGCCATTTCCCCTACAGAAAATATATCTATCTATATATCTATATAGATAAAGTGTAGAAAAAACAGGCAATTGTGGAATTGCAACCGCAAAAAGCTGCTTAAGTTATTAGTTATTGTTATCAATAATATATACAACTAACTATAACTATCCATCGACATGGAGTTTGGTAGTTTGGTAGTTTGGGCTGCACACGTTCATTACTGCAAATTTGTGCTGAATAAATTTAATTGTTTTTCCATCATAAATTACCGTGGCTCGCATATCCGTTGATAAAAATTGAATTGCGTTCTAATTGCGAAACGAAATCAAATTTCGTGCCATAATTAATTGGAAAATGTGCGCAAATTGTTTAGGGGCTTAGGGATTTCTTGCTATTGATCTGGTTTGCTTTTAATATGGCTATCCAACACTGTCAGCCCAATGGAGTTTTAAGCCATTTCACGGAGTTAGTGGTTAGTGGTTAGTGGAAAAAGAGCGTCGATTAACTATTAAATACAGAAATCTATTTGAACTTCAAAGTATTATTTTTACTTTCAGTGTGTAAAGAACACAAAATTCTTCAAAAACCATTTACCAGCACTGTTTGCCTTAAAATACTTTTATTTATATTTTTATTAACTTCAAAAGAAACCCTCCTTCTAGGGTAGCTAAAACGTTCAAGGCATTATTAAAGCCCAAAACTAAACTATTATTATTAACAAAGATATTTTTATATCATATACCTTTCCTTTATCATTTACCAACACTCTTTGCCAGTAGATACACTTCTCTGCACTCTGATTAACTTCTAGAAATCATTCCTTCTTAGTAAAAGCCTCCGCCAAGGTGTGAACGAAAAGGATAAGGTAGCTGGGTATATAAAGTAGGAAGAAAAGTGGTGAGTAGAGAGGGTCCGAGTCAAGGGGGATTGGGAGACAGAAAGTAGACATAGATCCAACAGGCGACGTCGGCACTTTTGGTCCACTTGCCCGGCAATTGGACCATTTCGTTGAGCGCTTCACAGCGCTCAAGTTGCCTTGGGTTTGGGATTGGGAATGGAAATGGGCAAGGGATTGGGTTTGGGTCTGGCCAAAAGAGGTAGGGATCCCAGCTGTGCTGCCAGCCGACTGCCAACGACATTTAGCCCACTTTTTACGCAGCAGCGGGCACCACAGGAATCAGAGTACGGGATGGGACCACCATCCATGCCCAGAAGGTACCCACCGTGTGACCCCACTTATGTACCCCTTTTCATACACTTGAAAAAACAAAATCAAAAACTGATAATTTGGCATGCCAAAGTGTCAATATTCTAGCAGTTTGAAGTTGCTACTCTCCCGATTTTATGTTAATTTTTGTGCATTTATTCATATCTAAATTTATTACTTTTAAACTTAATACATCAGTTTTAAAATTTGGAGTTCAAATATCTCATTTCTCCCATGATATATATCTATGAACTTGCCTTTAAACTATAAAAATGATATTAAAGAAGACTATAAAAGTCTCAAACTACACTCCTAAGTAAAGTTCCTTAAAAATTATGTTTATTTATGTTTTTTCCTCAAACAGGGAACAAATAATGAATAACAAACTAATCCATTTATCTGTATTTTGGAATTCATTTCATTTAGATTTAAGTTCAAAAAATATTAAGAATATTCCCACACTATTTAATACAATTTTTTAATATTTCCTTGCATAATATTACTTTCTTAATATTATCTTAAAAACCTCCTTTTTCCCAGTGAATGTCCTTAATTTTTGCCAGAGTATGTACATAAAGTTCCCCGTAGTTCGGCCGTTCAAGTAGTCAGTCAAATTGGGATTCGGTTGTGGCTTTTTGGGGTCACCTCGCCCAATGCCTCGCCACTCCTCGCTACTCCTCACCAGAATCTCCAAATGCAATCCACTTCGCCTCGGCGATTGCCTTTTGCCGGTGCTTTCGGGCCGTTTAAGATGCAGATAATGCTAATTAATTGTATTGATTAGCTCATTATATCATTAGCTGGCAGCGGACTGGCGAACTGGCGAACTTGCCCCGGGCGCCTTTTCAATGTGCCATGCGACGACAATAAGTTCCGACCGCAGCAACAATGCATGCACAAGATCCTTGGATGCAGATCCTTGTGCGTTTCTGCATTGGATTTTGTGTGCCGTCTGCCGTCTGCTGTCTGCTGTCTGCCGTGTTGCTTGGGGCCGCACATTCATATAAATAAACTTGTCTAAATTGCAGTTACCGCCCCAGGGCCATGGCCAAAATTGTGTGCAACACCGAAAACTTAAGTGGGCTTGGGGTATGGAAATTCGGGCGGTATGACGAAAATCTTCGGGGCACGGTTGTGTGTCCAAGAGCTTTGTTCTAGGTTCCGGTGGCCAGTGAAATCCGGTACAGTTGTAGAGGGATTATGTGACCTCCTGGAAAATAGCTTTTCGCCAGGTAAGACACCAATTGGGATCACAATTCACCACTGACCTCCAGCCACAGGGCAATAAAAATGGCTAATTGAGGAATTTACTTCAGTAGCTAGGTTTTTCGGTTTCATTTGCTAGGCAATATGTTGGTTATATAAGAAAAATAAGTAAGTTAGTTAGTTAAGTTAAGTTAGCTCTGTAAGCTGAAGAACGAACTTGTTTTCGATTAGTCCATCTTAAGTCCTTTTAATCACACTCTTCCTTACTTCACTTTGACAAAAATTAAGTATTTTCTGATAAGTTTATGTTAAAGTTTCCTTTATTTACTGTTTACTGTTAGCCAGAGCCACCTGTACTTCATATATCCTGTTCATTCCATTCATTAGATCCTAAATCGGGGACTCGAGTGATTTCTTTTTGTATTCTTAGCTGCCTTTGCGACTCTGTCGGGGTTGTCAGGTGTTCGTCGCCCGCTCCTTCTGCTTGTCCATAAAGTTTTGGCCAACTTTTTGGAAACAAGCTGCATCGTCCTTCGTCCTTTATCCTTGCCCCGCTCCCTGCCCAATGTCGTCGCTAGCATCGTTAAGGCGTATCCATCATAATATCTATCGGGGGGGGGCGAGGGCTCTACTACCGTATACTGCCTCATCCGAATAATTCATTTATATTAATACATCCTGCAGAGCAACAGTCAAGCTCACTGCGAACGAGACGGGGATAGATATAGATATAGATATAGCTTCAGATATAGAAGAAGCCGAGGAAGAAGTATTTCAATTTGTATTGCCAAGTGTCTGGCTCTATCTGTCTCTCTCTCTGGTAGCCTCTCCCTCTCTCCCTCGCACTGTCTGCAGTTGCAGTGCTCGACTTTGCCTCGTCAACAGCTTAAAGTTTGAATTGCTGCACACGGAGTCACTAATACACTGCGGGAAATTCCCTAAACTTTGTTACCATTTTAGCTTCAAATGTTGAAGTAATGTATCCGGAATAAATATATATCCATATCCAGTAGATACTTTGAATATATTTTAAAGTTTTATAATAATCTCCGAATATCTCTCCTTTTTTGCAGTGCCTTTTTCCGCCTGGACAACCTGGCCGAAGGTTGGCACTGGGATGCAGCTGGCTGAGGAGGGGGGTTAAAAATGGGGCCGTCGATGGAGGAGGATTACAGGATGCAGGACGCCACCTTTTGCAGCTGCTTCCATGTGTTCATGGCGCAAATAATCGCCGTCATCAACAACAACAAAAACAAGATGGCAGGACAGGATCAGGACGACAGGATTGGGTCCCCGGTTCCTGAGGACACCAGAGGGTAGCAAGGGATAGCACGGGATAGCAGGGGGTGTGCAAAGATGAGTTGAGAGACGTTGACGCTGACGCCATTAGCACCGAGTTTTGCAGCATCAACGACAAACTTTAAATTGTTGCGTCATTACAATTCGAGTTGGGGCTTCTGCGGATAGAGGGGTGAGGGGAGGGGATCAGCTGAAATGTTGAGCAACAGGAAGCCGGGATATATATTCTGGGCCTAGCCAAGGCATAAATGCTCCTTGCCAAAAGGCGAGAAAAGAAGAAGTCTTGTCCCCGTTTGCACCAGTGATTGATGTTGCACTTTAAATTTCTGTTCTGTCAGTCGGATGCGCACACACATGCTCCCTAATGACCAGGTGCCACAAATGGTTGCATTCTTGAAAAAAAATAAACACTGCTTATTTTCCACTAAAATGTTGCAAAGGCAACATTCCCCCAAAGGCATTAACTTCTATTTTCTTCCAAGTCGCCGGGAATGTCATTTGGCCAAATGATATGGGGATATAACATATTTATGCTCCCCAGCTCCCGTTCTTACTTACTTTTTGGTTACAATTTTAAAGGGTTAAAGTGTATTTTAAAGAAAATTATTTTATAAAATATATATTCTTTCTAGATTTATCCCTATAAAGGTTACGGAAAGGGTTTAACGGGAAGTAACTTTCATTCTAGAAACTTTAAGTTCTTTTTAGTTTTATGAAGAATGGCTTTCTAAAGATTTCAAGCCTTAAAAATAATTAATAAATTTGTGTAAACTAAAGAAAACCTATCTAACTTTAAGCCATAAAGAAGGGCAATGCATTTTTATAGTCGCAAGGGCATGTACAGTCCGCTGCCCTCTGCCTTTGTAATCATTTAAATGAACAAATTATAAATTACCCCAATAATGGGCTCGGGAGCAGGACAAGGAAACCGACCAGGATACGGAGACAGGAGTCAGGAGTCAGGAGTCAGGAGTCACGTCCAGGCACACATATATTCTATATGCATACACTCATATATGCTGATATATATACATACATATATGATATATATATATGATGCCATATATTATATATTGCGGCGATTGCATCGCAACGACAATTTTGGCTCATTATAAATTTGCCTTAATTTTAATGCAAAATGTCTCTGCCGCAGTCTGTCTATCTGTCTGTCTGTCCGTCCCTCTCTCTCTCTCTCTCCCTCTCTGTCTGTGTGTGTGTATATGGCCGTCTCTTTCGGCAATGTGTATGTCTGGCACAGTGCCTTACATTTAATGCAACCAAACTCCAGCTGGCATCGGACTGCGATTTCTGAGTCGAAACTGGGAACTGGGAACTCCAACTGAACTCCTCGCCACGAATTGCATTCAACTGCAGCCTGCAGACCGAGCCATCCATCTGACCCTCTCCCTCGCCCACGGGATCTGCCCTCTCCTTCATTCGCTGTAGGTAATCATGTTGCTGACAGCATTGTTGCCACACAGTCCACTGTTCCTGATACCCAGCGAAAATCTCAAGGAGAAGTCTGAACAGGATTCAAAAAAAGAGGATAAACTTTTTTTTTTAAATTTTTATCTCTAAAAGTTCAAGGGTTTTCCAAGGATATTCAGTACGTAGAAAGATATAAATTAACTTTAATATATTTTTGAAATAAATTAACAAAAAAGAATCATAACTGGGTAGTTTCAGCCTCGAATAGCCCATAAATTTCCTCCACGTTGTATGTTAAAATTGTTGCACGACAATGAGCAGGCTGCCGCCAAAAAAAGAAGAAAAAAAGAAAGGGAACAAAGATGGGGAGAAGAAAAGAAAAGCCAGCAAAATGCACATGCCACGTAGTTATGCATATGTCGTTGTCCCAGGACCACCGATCCCCCGATTTCCCCCCAGGCCCGCCGCCACTGTACGTGTGTTCCAGGCAATTCACAAATTGAACGTACGAAATCACATTAGCCCCAACGTCAGCCCCAGCCCTCAGCATCAGCTCCAGATCCTGTCTGTCCTTTCAGCATCTTCGCTTGTTGCAGCGGCTCCTTGGGGAAAATGCCCCTTGCCCAAACACTAGCAGGCCCAGTTCCCGGATCCTTAAACGGAACAAAGTACACTTTGAATCTATATTCCATCCCTGACGTTAGCATGCTTCGTCTTAGTTATTGATTACATTACAGAACTTCGAGTTTTCATCGAGAAATATGAACTGCTGATATCGATAACAGATTTTTTTCATCATCTTAAAGTTGCACATCATAGGGAAAGCTATTTATACTTTCAGAGCTATTTATGCTTTCAAGAAAGCATATTTAGTTTAACCAACTTTCAAGCTTCTACTTTAAAGCACATCTCTTCTATTTTGAACCATTTTAAATACAGCAATGTATTATTTATCGTGTACTGGGACTATTTTGGCCGAACACGTACGGAGCCGCTGGCATTGGCCAATTGGCCTGGTCTAGGCCCTTCTTGGTCCTGCACCCCTCATACATGTATATATATATTCTATATGCCCCTCTGCTGCGACGACGTGCTGCAGCAAAAGTTTTCCTTGTCTATTGATTTGAATTTGAATTTTTCGCCTAATTGCAAAAAGTGAGCACAAAGTGAAACGAGCGAGCGAGAGAAGAAACGAGAAGAAGATAGGGCAGAAGACAGAAGGATAAAGAGAAGTTCACCATTTTGGCCAGTAAAGGAACTTTAGTAAATTTTTGATTTTTGATTAAATTGAAAATTTAAAAGATTTCATTTTTATTATGACCATCAAATTCCCCCTGCGGCCAACTTTCCACTCATCTAACCTGCCACAGGCAATGTTTACCCAGTGCTGGAAATAATTCCCCATAAATTCCAATATTAATTGATTAAAAAACAAATGCCAAAATCTAAACTGAGCCCCCGGGGAAATTTCAAATAAATTTGCACACTTTCGAGGCTTAGGCAGGAGTGCTTTCCCTGAGCGAAGTAACTTAAAATGGTAAACAGCAAATGTAGTGGCAAAAATTTTGAAATAAAAAATTAAACAATTCCTGCGATGTTTGCTGATAACTGTATTTCGCTTTTCCCCCTTATAAAATGTGCACTTAAATTCAAAATTGTATTTACTTGACCCTTCCCTTTTCCTCTCCGCATTCCTTGTCCTTGTGCATCAACAATTGTTTTTTGGTTTCTTTTGTTGTAATTTTGAAAAACATATTTATTTAGCTTGAGGCCGAGGCAAAAACTAACTGTTTCATCCTAGCTAGGAGTATGTGTACAGTGGTGGGTAAAGTATTAGTGCCAGCTAATGAAATGTTCATAGAAAATCTTAAATTGCAATATTCTGACTGGGAAACTTTATTTTTACTTAAGAGAAAGCATTTCCAAAATTCAATTTGATATTTAATTTATTTTTGCTTAATTACACAAGCTATATTTTGCGAACATCACTTTTCGAACTCGCAAAACTGTTTATAAAAACTAAACATACATATTTGTGTATTGCTTAGAGCTATTATCCTGCCCGCGACTGTACATGAAGTCGGTGTGTTTTGTGCATTTTCAATGCAAATATTTGCATCTGTGTCCGTGTCCATTTGTGTGTTTGCTCGGATCAGAGCGATATATAGAGCACAATGTAGCATATATAGGCGTACGTATAAACATAATATCGCATATCGGGCCAAATTGTTTTTATAGAATTTGTATATTTTCTGCAAATGTGCCAAGCAAACATTAAACGCATAGATAGATGTATAAATATCATAATAATAAAAATGGAAATCAGAATCGGAATGGGAATGGAAATGATAAGAGACGGGGGAATATTTTCCATGGGCTCGCATAGTTTTCGAATTGATTTCACAAGTGCCGGCCAAACAACTCCCGAAAGTGGGCGTTACGGTCCGAGTTTATTGAAAAGAAAGAGAGGCCGCTAAAGCGCCGGAAAGAGATGGCAATAGACGGGGTGTAGTAGTAGAGAGAGGGAGAGCAACAAGCGGAGTGTCCGCCCACGCAACAAGGTAATCAAATGCAATTGAAAAACCAGCGCAAAAAGTTTATCCTTTGGCTTGCCTTGAACACAAGCGTTCCCGGTTCTCCTTCCGGGCCACCCCTTTTTCAACCCGGTTCACCCACCGCCACCCGGACTTTACCCGTTCCCGCTTCACAACCGTTCCCTTCGATTTTTCACCCGGTTGCCATTGCAACGAATTTAATCAAAAGTTACAATTCCAATTGTCCGCAAGCGGGTCACTCGTGTTGCGTATTAAAAAAGTTCCACTGCGGTGAGACAGAGACGGCTACTACCCATAGAGCGAGAAGGGCACAGATGCACTCAGCGGAAATATGGAGTTACATTAAAAACTTTTCATTTGAATTTTTATTACAGAAATGTGCCCTTCAAATTTACAAAGAAATTATCTAGAATTTTAAAATATCAAAAAATATTCCCAATTTATAACATTAACTGCCTTTTTTTTTTGAGTGTAGCGGAAAAGAAACAGAGATGGGGCGAGAGATAGAGTCGGCGTTTCATATCCGTGTTCTATGTAGGCCAAAAACAAAAAGGACGAAAAGGAGCGGCAGGAACCGGAGCGAAGTGAGCCAAAAAGTTTGCCCGCTTAAATTGCAGCGATTGCAATGAACCGGACGGACAATCAATGCCGATTTTTGCCACATCTATCTCGCCCTGTCACTCCCGGCAGCCCTCTCAGTCGCACCATAGAGAAAGCGAAACGGTATCGAAGTATCGATAAAATCGAATCATTTGCGGGCATCTACAAGTGCGTTTTGAGTGCAAAAGGGGAAAAAGAAGGTTCATTCCCATTTGACTTCCTTTTTTCCTTTTGGTTTTCTCAATTGCCGCTGAAACGCGATTTAAATTTTGCTAAATGTATGGCATGTTGGATTTTTTGTGGATTTCATTAATTTACCAATTTGGTACACTGAAAACGTAACTTAAAAATGATCATAAAATCCATTTTTTAAAACTGCTCAAGGCCTGGTCATATTTTTCTAGGATTTCCAAATATCTCTCTACTTTTGGTGTAGAAATAAGCGAAGTATCCCACCGATTGTTGGTTTCCTTAAATGGAAGCAATTTTCTTGTCAACACTGCTTGTTTTGGTCATTTCCCCTGCCGTCCCTCTAACCCAACGACTGCTGTCCATCAGCGTCATTCAGCCAGCCCTAACTCTCCTCTGCAACCCATTCTTCCTTCGCCCTGGCATATGTGCCAGATCCAAAGTCGGGACGACTTTCCCTCTGCCGATAATGATGGGCCAGCCGAACAATCAATTAACGCACTGCCAGCCATCAAGGTTGCTGACCCGGGGGGCGGAGCGGTCTGGTCAGTGGGCGTGGCATTTGGCAGTTGACAGCGGGAAAGGGTGAAGCAGTGGGGTAGATGTGTGGCTGATATTTTGGGGAAATCGAGGGAAAGCTGGAGGCGGTTCCTTCATGGTCAGCCGCATGCAAAAGCGATTTGCCAATGCAGCCTCCTCTTGTCCATTTTGCCTTTCTTCTGCAGTTTCCTTTTCACTGAAAGGAGGTTTAACAGGCTTTAAGTTAAGCAACTTATTGAAGACTTGGGATATAGCAGAGATCGAGACTGAAGGACGCATCATCAAGGGAACAAAGACAAAGCTGACATGGAAATGCGGAATGCAGATGATAAGGAAATTAAATCAAGAGCCTTCGAAGGCGTACTAATTTTTGGTTTTAGGGTCTTTGCTTAAACTCATTTTAACAAGCATAAAGTGGGAATTCACTAACACATCAACATGATTTGCATTTTTTGTCAACCAAAAGCAGTTGAAAATCTTTTTAAAGCACCCTCTGAACTCCGTTTGGGCATGACTTTTTGATAGAAATTGAAAATAGCAAACAAATCTTTGACCGCCATGGATGCCAAGCAGCAGCTGCCGCAGCAGGACGTGAATCAAGATCGCGGCGAGTTGGCCACGAGCAGCAAGGACCTCGAACTGGACGGGCACGGAGAGGACCTGAGCTGGAACACCAGTTTGACCACCGTCTGCAGCAGTTTGCCATTGACCGCAAGGAGCAGCAAGGACCTCGAACTGGACGGGCGCGGAGAGGACCTGAGCAGGAACAACAGTTTGACCACCGTCTGCAGCAGATTCCCATTGACCTCAAGGATCGAAAGCTGGCAGCCGATGGACTCAGAGACTGCAAAAGAAACCTTCATAAATCCCAAATTGGAAGTGAAGAGTGAGCTAAAGGTCCAGCAGGCCGTGCTGGTGCCGCACGCAATTGAGCCCCTACAGCCTTGATATCACATTGAATAAATTCAAGTTACTTTTTGGAAATAGCTATTGGTATTCTTACAATAAAACTCTTTTGTTTTAGTATTTTTTTAGTTTACCTAAACACCACTGCGTATGAGTAATAAAAATGCTCATACGACATATTGACCATCAATTTAAAAAAACTTTCATTGGGCTCTTTCATTAAAATGCCCAAATTGAAGCCATTAAAGTGGCCCTGACTTCCGCCAGAGATCAACAAGCTCTATAAATTCCACACCGTCCAATCTAACACCTCTCCCATAATTGAAGGTAAATTAAGTTTGCTCTCCTCCACATTCGACGATTGAACTCGATTGACGCACATCGTTTGCTTTTCGGCATCGACGGCATGGCGGCCTCAAAAACGAAATTGCTATTTACAAACAATTTTACATATTTACGCGGCAACTGTTGACATTTTGCTATAAATTCACCCGGTCCTGGTCCACCTCGCGCCCTCGCTACCCCGCCTCCTTGGACGAAGACCAGGGCAAACAGAAGTACAGTGAGAAAAAGTAGTAATCTTAGAGAATATGCCAATATCCTATTATTATTTCACTTAAAAATAACTTTCTTTTGAAAACTGTATTTTTTAGCATACTTTTTCGGGCTGAATATTGCAATCTTACATATCTCTTAGAAGTTCATAGAAAATATATATAAATTGAAGAGTAAACTTAATAGTATAGTAGAACTACTTTATAAGCAACCACTACATATCAAATTTCTATAGTCACAAACTTGAAATATCGAATTTTTTATTTGCTAAATGGAAATGATTTACGTTTTAGTTTGATTTAAAATTTGTTACTTTAAACTACTAACCGGAATTATAAGTCCATTGCTCGCAGACTGCAAACATTTCCTCTAAGTGGAGCCCCAACTTGTGATGCAAAAACTGCCCCGAACTGACTGATGGCTGACTAGATGGATGGCTTCGCTCCGTTCCTCCGCTTCTTGGCCTGAAGTAGGAGCTGTTGCTGGACGCTTATTGTTAGATGGATGGATGGATGATGTGTAGCTGTTGCTCTTGCCATGCCTCTAGCCCCCAGCCCTGTGCCCAGTACATCCCTCGAAAGTGCAGTGTTGTTGCAATCTATACGGTATCTGGTGGAAAGTCCATGGCCAGGGACAGAGGGCCAGATAGAGTTGATGATTTGTGGCGCAAAATGCGAAACTGACAGCGCGCTTCCGCTTAAAGGAAATTGAAATCCTTCTTTGCACAAAATTGTTGACGTATTTACACACACTCCCACATCCATGCATACACACTCATATGCCGAGATAAACACACGCAGACACACACACACAGTGTCCTTTTTTTGGCAGTTAGTTTACTCACTGGTCGAGGACATGCGAACTCTGGCCCAAGGAAACTTCCACCTGCTATGCGGGCTCCTTTGTTGCGGAACTTGGCTAATTGGAACTAACTTACGGATTTACATTTTTAAATATTTTTGTTAGGCTTTAGAAATATTTCGAATAATAATTAATAACATTCATTGATTTTAAATAATTAATTTTAGAAAAAATTAAGATATGACTAAACTACATAATATTAAGATTTATTTCGTTTTATATTTACATAATTATAAGTTCGGCTAAAATATTTAACCTTTTCCCTTTTCTGAACTGGTTTTTGCTGACTTTTCGGCACTGAATAATGACACGAGGGACTGGGAAATGAGGGAGTTACAGTGCCCCTTCACTTCCGCCGGACATATGCCGATTATTTGCCCGATGTTGCCACCGCTGCTACGTGCCGCACTGCCGCCCATCCTCATTAGGCGTACAGCTGCAGCAACATCTGCAGCTGCTGCTGCAACTGCAACTTTGACTGCAACATGTAAGGCCCAGCACCTGGCTGCAACGGCAACGGTTTCATTTTATGGCAGCTAAAAATGTATAATTTGGGCATAATCCAAAGTTGTTTAAGTATTATAATAATACTTTTTAAATAAGTTGTCATCGTCTAAGGGGTATAAAAATAGAATAATGGTTATTATTGTTATTAGTATGGACATATTTTTGGCTTGCTTTTGACAGAAGGTACTATAAATGTAAACCCGTTACTCTTAGAGTTCCTTGAAGAATATGCAACAGATAGAAGGAAGCATTTCCGATTCTATAAAGTCGATTAAGACATGTCCATCTGTCCCTCTGTTCGTATGAAAGCTGAGATCTCAGGAACTATAAGAAAAACAAACTTGGCCATATGCCTTTCTAGCATATGCAAGGTGAATCCAAACTGTCTTACCCTATAACTCTAACTTTATATTATAAGACTTACAGTTCCCAATATTTCAGCGGTTTTCGTTATTGTGAGTTCAGAGTTAAAAAATATGTGCTCCTCCAAGGTTTCCTAAACAGATGTCTCCACAGGATTTATTTATTTTAATTGACGTTATTTAATTTACGTTTCTGTATAAAACAAAGATTCCTAATTATCACTGATTGATTGCCCAAAACCACAAATATGAAACGGAAAAGTTTATTTAATCTTTAAACATCTGATGAAGACCTTCACATTTGCAAGTTATAATGATAATAATCCTCACAGTATATTCTATGGTTTAGTTATCATAACCCTCATGATGCGCATCGTCACTAAGTAGATGCACCTGCAGTTCATTATGAGATGAGATTTAAAAACTCATATTGGATTGAATTGGAATAGATCCTAAAGAACCATAGGGGGAAAACATAGTAGGATTGTCATCCCTCGAACATTCCCTTACTAAGACGAGGTCCAAGAAACGGTCTCATTCATTTGTGAAAAACATCAATAGCCCTGGTTTAAAGTAATGAAAGCCATTTTGACATATGTATGTCAACCTAAGCTGCTCATAATTTTGTATTCCTGCTGAAGTGAGGACCTTGCTCTGGTTAGTTTTTTGTGCTTTGTGACATTAAATACAGATAATATCCGTACTTAAGATAGGTAATCGAAGAACCTACAAAACCCACAAAATATGAAGCCCAAATCTAAAGATAACAAGCCCTCGACTTTGGAGGCTGCGCTCAGTTTTATAATGAAGAAAAATCGCGATGATTTGGGCGGGAAACCTCGGCAGGCAATCGCCAAGATGGGAAAAACCCCATCGCCAGGGCCCTCGGGAAGCAAGAAACCCGCTAAACAGGGATTCTGGAAGGGCAAGAGGGACAATGACTGGGACCGACAGATGTACATGAATAGCATTACGATGCTTAATGATGGACTCCGCGAGAGAATTGAGCAGGCGGAAAAATCAAAGATTGCATTGATGGAATCGAACACAAGCCTCAAATCGGAGATTGAAGATTTGACCCGAATGAAAAAAGAATTGGATCAAATTCACAGGGAGAACTCTTGTCCGATCTGCCTTTCCCGGTGGCATCTCGATGGCGACCATTTTCCGATGTCTTTGAAATGCGGCCATGTTTTCGGGAGCAAGTGCATCCTCCAGCACTTGGAATGTCGCTTTGGTTGTCCCACCTGCAGGCAGCCGGTGCAGTTGTACTCACTACGCGGCCTCCACTGCTCATAATATAAGACTGGACTCTAATGCTTGTAAACGCTGAACTTAATACATTTACTATTTATAATACTAGTACATTAATTAAATCGAACGAGCTTATGATGCACTAATTACCTCTTAGTTAATATGGATATATGGCCTTACGATTGTACAATCACAGTTAAAAAAATATTAATATTGTATAAAACGTTTTTATAGGATGGAAAACCAAGAACTAGATCAGAGTTACCAAAGCTAAACAGATTAGAGGTGGAACAACGTCTGTCTGTTGTTTTGTATCGATTAATCGGCATATAAGCTATTGTTAATGTGTTTCCATCTTTGATTTCGTTTAGCTTTGGCCTCTCTAATGAAAAACCGTAATATAAAAAGTTTAGTATAAACAGATTCACACACCATAAAAAGAAGACCTTTATCAATTTACAAATTCATTGAAAATATATGATTGGATAGCAATTTTTAAGAAGCCAAAACACCCATGAAAAATTATATAATAAATATCATAGGGTGATGAGATACATAGAATCGATCGGATGGGCAATCCCCATTTGTAAAAATAACAACCTTTAGCGTCGCGATTTTGTTGCGACTCCAAACACCTTGGAGGCTCGATCCCGCCCAGGAACTTCATCGTACATTTTACCAATGAAGACGCTAACGGAAACCACATTGCCATTGCTGCTGAGCGCCTTACCATTCGAGCGGTTTCCAATGATCGGTTCAGTGGCAGAGTCCTTGTCCAGGTAGCCAAGGTTATTGTTTACGGAGAATACGGAAATTTTCCTCAATGATGAGGCCCTGCTCCGGATTGAAACCCCGCTGATCCCGCCCAGCAGCTTTCTGCCCATCACTCTTCCCACTTCGGATACGGCTGCAGATGTGGACACCATCATTTTAAGCTGGTGAAGGATCCCGCTATCTGAAGTACACCACCTTTAAGTCGATATCCCTGGAGAACGAGTTGAAGAGTTGATAGCCTAGGGCGTCCAGAGCGAAACCATTATTATTATTATATTTATTTGTTATTAATATCTCTTTTATTCCAATCGTCACAGATTCACATTTATAAAAAGACGCATTCTACTTTTTTGATCCGTGAGAGGAAAACCTAAAGACCATCCCGATCCCGTAGAGTGATGAACAGACGAAGAAAACGGAATGATCTGTCCTGAATGCTGCAAACTGAGGTATTGTTACCAGTCGATAAATACGAAATTTTGATTTTCTTTGTTTTCTTTTTGATAAAACTTGTTCTTTCTGCTCGGGCTTCGGACGTGAGCTAACATATTACTGAGACAGGCCGATCCTCATGTCCAGGCGTGGCCATTTTCCTTCCAGCTCTTCCAGCATAGTCCGGGGAGTCGTTGACCCCCTTCCTTGCTTCATGGAACTTCAAGGATTGGAACTCGTCTTTGTATATACCACGCTTCTTACTTCCCTTATACACTTTCTTGGTCTCTACTTTGGCTCTTCTGTAAATGGAGATTCGTTTAGAAGATCCGAAAATGAAGGTCAGGATAAGACTATGCAGTGTTCGCGGAAGGT